CTTACATCCAGTAGCTGTTATCACTCTTTCCAGTATTGATTGGTGGGGGGAATCCTTCCTAACCGTTTATTTGAATGAATGTAGAATATTAACATCTTTGAGTTACATGTAGTATCCATTTTAGTTGTTGTTGCTGTTGGTAGTCCTCAAATGATGTGGTTTCTTTTATTTGGTTTGGTTCTTTGTGATTCTATAGCACCAGTCCACAAGATTCAAATAAGGATGGTGTCTACCAAGACCCTCATCCTTCACTCACTCAAATCTATTTTTAACTATTGAGCTTACAAAGCAGTTTTATACAGCTGTCAGTTTAGATATTTTTGAACAGGTTTTGCACCATGCATGATGTCCATATGTAAATCTTGATCTGACAAGAATAGTTAAGAACATGACTTGAGATTTCAGGTTGATGTTTTGGTTTCATAGCAGTTTGTGGTGTTGGGCAAAGCTATGTCTGGCACAGCTTATTCTATGTTCAATTTCCTTATCACTTATACTAAATTTGTTATAACTTATCTATACTCCTAGGTAGTTGAAGTATTTAGTATTTGTTAATTCCACATCATGAATTTTTTATAACAGATTCAGAGTATGTGTCATCATTACTTTCATTCCAATTCCAGATCATAGTTTCTGTTTTAGAAAGATTTATCTTGAGTCCTATTTTTTTGGAACACTTGATGTTTATTTTCAGTTCAGGATCATTCTTATTCCAATTATGAATATTTATGTCATCAGTACAGTCTCTCTTATCCCCAGTACATTGACTTTAAGAGGGAAAGCAGGATTGTTGTCTTTTATTGGTAGAATCATTTGCAATGAGGTATGAAATGCTTAAATAGTCAGTTCTAATCTCTTCACATCTGTGTTTGTAAATATGAAGGGCATAGTCTAAGTAAAGATTAAAGACTGGGGCTCTTATTTTCCTCCTTGCTGTACTCCTGATGAGGTTTTGAAAAGTTTCTATATTGATGTCTTCACTAGATATTTTGTAGATTGATACAGTTCCTCTATTAGATTGATGCATTCAGTGGATTTGAAGCTTGGAAGGTGGTTTATAATAGATGAGAAGAGGAAGTCTCCATTGATATGGTCATATGCTGCTGTGAGATTGATAAAGCAGGTATCAGTCAGTTATGCATGATACATGCTTAAGTGATCATGTATCTTTTGATACATGACTGACAAGTGAAATTGGGTAGACTGAACTGTTTTCCAGTTGATGTTTTGGTTTTGTAGCAATTTGTGGTGTTGGGCAAAACTATCTTGGGCAATTTCTTCTACTCCTATACTAAATTTATTATAATTGATTATACACTGAATAGATTGAGAATAAAGAAGGTTACATGAGTGAATGAATGGTGGGTAAGGTAGGGAGTTACAAGAAATGACTGAGGGTGTATGAATAATGAACATCAGATGACCTTCTGATGACCCCCTTCCAACAAAATTTGGTGCAAGTAATTCTCGTTCCATCATTTACAGACAATAAGCGGATGTTCTGTTTAACCTGCTCTTCATGATTGTCAGGTTGCAAGAAAGTAGATTTAGTTAATTGCTATCAAATCAAAAGTATTACATTTAGAAAAGGAAGGTCACTGGGTGTGTTTTATCAGAATAATGGTAGACAAACAATTAGGTAAATAGAGAAGCAGGTAGAAAGTAAATGATTTGAGAGGAAATGACCTGACATAGACCAGTTGGGTCAATTAAAAGGCATTATGCCATCAAAGGGTTTTAGGTTTGTAGATTTTACACAACAAATGTAATGTCTATAACTTTGAGAAAAGTCATTAACATACCCAGCACTATTTACATCGTTCAGACTGTTGTCCTCATCTTTATTGCCATATTCACAACGTTTAAGGTGTTGTATGCTCTGAACTTCTTTAGGTGATATATGTTAGAATTTCAAACTGAAACCATTATTTATTCCATGGTGGTAGATTGTTCTAATTCCACATGCCATGCTTTTTTTGGATATCTCAGCATCAGTTAATTCCCTTTAGTAACTATCCAAGTTTTTGTTCTCTCTGTTGTAGCCAGGTATTGAACTCTCAACTCTTTAGGTCATTTTTGGAATTACTCAACTGATGCTTATCAACTGGAGGTCATAGCATACAATGGCTGAAACATTGTGAATATTGCAACAAAGTTGAGGACAACAGTCCAAACAATGTAAATAGTGTAAATAGTTACAATACCTCATCTCAGAAATAAAACAGATATATCCAGCACTGTTTGAACAAGTGAACCTTTTCTTCAAAACCTTGCTGTTGTTAACATGATATTTCAGCCAATCCATTCTTCAGCCCTCACCAAGTGTATTCTGAGAAGAAAAGGAAAACTCTTTCTCCCAGATAATTGACAAGGAGTATTGCTGGGGAATGAAGAAAATGAAAACAGCAGAGGTTGGTTTGTTGGGCAGGTGTATAAGTTGGATGAATACATGAAACATAATGTTGTTTTTCTTTGCTTAGAAAAAGCGGATGTTGATGAACTCTCTCCCTATTCCCCTAGATATATAATATTTGGAATCACCTAAGTATTTTGTGTACCTATTGTTACTGAAATGGATTGACCCAATCAGTAGGTTAATTACCATTTCCAATTGAAAGGAAAGGTCTCCCCTTTTTTCTCATGGAATACATCCTATGAAGTTTGGAGAATGAAGTGGGTGAAAGATTATGCTAACAAAAAGTATATGAAAAAAAGGATATATTTCCCAAGCAAGTAAATACTGGTTAAACAAATATACTGTGAAAAAAACAGGCCATCTGTTGGGGTTGAAATTGAAACAAAAATATTAAAAAATGAATAGTTATTCAGAAACTAAACAACAGGCATTTCAAACAACTGAATATCTCATGCAACTTATTTTATACCCTTGCTCTTGTTTTACTCTTGATCTGTATCTTCCCATTCTTGTCCTTATCCCTTTTCAATCTTCATTGCTTATGCATAGTTTTATCTAAATTTTATACAAAATATTTTTAAAGAGAATAAGGAATAAAGAAATAGTTTCTACAACCTCATCTTCTTTATCTTTCTATTGCTTTATCTCTCCATAATGAATTTTAACATTCTCAAACCTTTCAATCACTGTCTATCGATATCCAGCCAGAAAACCTTTTTGCCAACAACCCCCCCTCTCTCTCTATGTATATATATATATTTTTTTTATTTCCTCTCTTTTTTTTACTTCCTGTATATCTTCCTTCAAAACCTTCTTTTCACCTTCTACTCTCCTTCCCTATTCCCAGTTCATTCCTACTTAATATTAGTAAGTTACTTGGTTAGAAAAGGAGACTGATTCTAGTTCAGATAGTTTCTGGGATCAAACAGATAATACACATTAGTATTTACTCCCCACACACCATGGTGGCGAGATATGAGATTGTTTTTAATATGGAGTGTCCACAGGTGCACATATGGAGAATGGACAAAAATTGCCATGTTCCCTGTGACCTCTGTCATGCTGGCATTGGTATCCCCCAACCTTCTCTCTGGTGCATTGAGGAGGTGCTACCATAGGGTTGGAACCCCCTTAACCAGGCATCTCTCAAAACTTTTAGGTGAACTCTCCATAAACATGGCAGAGAGGTGAAGAACAGATACTACACTTAGTATTTACTAATCTTCCACATGGTGACAAGATATGCCACAAGGACTGTTTAAATTTGAGAAACCCAAGCTTGTGCACAAAGGCCAAGTTCAAAAATTTCCCAGGCCCTGAAACCAATGTTACACTGGTGTTGATATTCCACCAATCCTCCTCTTTGGTGCAATGAGGGAGGTACTGCTGTGGGGTTGGAATCCCTGGGATCAGGCATCCCTTATTTGTTGTGTTGTCTCTGAAGACAAAAACAAAATTGACAGATAAAATGTAGTTTTTCCATCCAAATGCAAATACTACATTGTGATCCTAGATAAATGAAGAATAAATATATTTACCTGGCCTCCCCACCAAGGCTGGGTGTGACACAAGGTCGTTTTAACATGGGGACCACCATACGCATACTTATTCATATGGGCTAAGGACAAAAATTGGTTTTTGCCCAGCCACTGTGAACATTCTCATACTGGTATTGGTATTACACTGACCCAACCATTTTAGTGCAATGAAGAGGGTGCTACCACAGGTTCAGAATCCCCTGGGCTGAGCAATTTAACCCATCTAAAATGAGGAGAAACATAGCTGCACTTATAGCACAGGGTCATTAACCATTGGCAATAGTTAACTCCTGTGCCAGGTAAATAGATATTTCCCCACCAAGGCTGGATATGAGACAAGGTCATTTTAACATGGGGATCACCATACACGTACTCATGCCTATATGCCAGGTAAGTATACAACACTTTGATCCTAGGTAAATTAAGAATAAGAAAAATTGTAGTATATATTCTTGTATTTTAATTTATCAGGACAATTTCAGTTCTTTGTGCCAATACAGAGATTTTCTCTTATTTTGATTTGAGAAAAGGATTTTAGAAGCATATGCTTTACATTCAAATTACCCTTTTTCTGTCTATTTAGGAGCTGGTATTATTGCATTCAGCCAGCATTACACTTTGACAAAAAACACTGGAGACAAGAGAAAAAGACATTTACTATCTGTCAATCCTTGACCTGCATTCAGATTCTACAATTTCTGCAATATCTATTGGACTTTTCTGGGATTGATGTTAGCTAAACATATTTAAGTCTTGGACAAATAATTTCTGTTGAAAAACATATTGATTCATTTTGTATGGCTTATCAACTCTTTACAGGTTATTTAAAACCTGAAAATAGTTTTAGATTGTAAGAATTTGTTTTGAGACAATAATGATTTAGTCATATTAATTAATCCATTGCTGTGGAAAGAAGAGATGGATTTGTACCTTTCCCAAGGGTATTTGCATATAAGTGACTATAACAAACCTAAGTGGAATTGGAACTCAGTTCTCTGATTAACAATTCTGAGCCATTATCTATTACACTGCCTGAACATCCAAACTTACAGTATCTGGTATTCCCAAATGGCCACCCATCTAAGTACTGATCAAGCTCAACGTATCTTAACTTTGGTGATTGTATGGGAACTGGTGTTTCAACATAATGTGGCTGTAAGCCCAAACCACAGACTAACTCTGAAGCTGTTGAAGAAATGTGTCACATATTCAAGTTTACAGCACCTGGTATTCCCCTGTGGTCACCCATCTAAGTACAGATCATGCTATGAGCTTCATATATGAAAACCAAATATGCTCCCCAAAGCTTACACATGTGATTTATGACCAATGCTTGCTGTCCCCACAATGAACTAATTGTTCTGAGAGAGTCTCATTCTTTTTCTTTTCTACAGTGCCAGTGTTCTACCAAATAATAGTTGTGATTGTTTGTTGTGTTTATTCATGTTTCTGTAGTTAGAGACATTGCTACCTCAGAGCTGATGACACAAATTGTAGCTATCAAACTGTCTACAAATCCATATGAATTATAATTTGGTAAAACAAATAAACAGATTCAAATGATAGTGGGCACATTTTAGAACATTAATTAATCAGTTTCAGATAAAATAAAAACATATTTTTATTGAAAATTATTAGTAAGATATGATATTCCTACAGAGTGGATACCAAGTATTTTTCTGTCAACTATTCACACATTTTGTCTACTATAATGCATGCATGTAAGGTATAAATAAAAAGACAACATACCAAGTAGTCAGTCAGTGAGTGAGAGCAAACATGATAGTCTGAGTAGTAGTCGATTGTAACAGTCCAAGTTGAAGTCATTAACAAATCTTCCTGCATCTAGCCTATTTCTTATGTGAAAATTACCTTCATACAGAGAAACTGGACTATAAAAAAATGGAAAAACACTCGTTTTGTAAACTACCTTAACAATTTCTGGAATATAAAATTTTTAATTCACATTTTATATGCTTCTTGTTTTTTTTTTCTTTGTGAGTGACGTTAAATTCTTACTCCTTCAGCCTTCCACTACATTATGTTTTGGAGAAATCATCTGCAAAAAATTTTTTATTGAGACACAAATCTACCATAAAGTCTGTTTAACTAAGTTTTTAAGCCCTTTCTGACAAATCAGTTAACATTTTATTGTAAATTGAAACTAAGCAGTGTTTGGTAATATTTATTCTGCTAAACTATGGTGTTTGCTGCCTTGCAACTTTAGAAATTTGTTGAAAAAGGAAATTCTTTTACATTTTGCTGCTTCATTTTTTTTTTTTTAAGAAAAATGGAATAAAATAAAAAGGACAAAAAAAGAGAACAATTACAAAGGAAAACTATCTGAAGATTTGGATAGTTATGAGAGAGAGAGAGAATGCAAAGAAAAAAGCCACAAGTATAATGTACCCAGTAAGAATCACATTCATGACTCATCAGCAATAGTCAACCAGACCAGGCTTGCTAATTACCTCATGCTGAGATGGCCATAGATGTTGGCATAAGGCTACAAATTTGCGGTATTCACTGAAGCTCAAGTACAATATTCAGTAGTAATAGCCAACCAGATCAGCTCACTAACCATTACCTTATGCTGAGGTGTCCTTAGTTTTTGACACAAGGCTGTAAGTCTAAGGCCCTCAGTAAAGAAGGAATTCACTATAGATTTTTGTCCTGATCTGACTCTTATAAAGATAGAGCTTATAGTGCTGAAAAGACAAAATGATTTTGGTCTATTGTGGATTTGAAGAAGACAGATGAAGGAGGAAGTAAAAGAATTCTCATCAAATAGATACAAACAAAGAAACATTCAATAATGCCAAAACAAAACATTTTTAAAGAAACGTTACAGATATAATATAGGAGCTGATTATGTCAAGCATATTCAATTTGCCTCCTTAAGAATACAGTAAAAAGAAATGCTGATAAAACTATTGTTCCTTTGATTCAAAGATATTTTATGTATCAAAATTCAAACAGAAAATATAAGTGAACAAATCAATCCTAAAAATAGAACATCAGTTTTTAAATCAAAAACTTTATTTTCTGTTCTGTGATATTTGCTTACATGCAAAATAGAGCTGATCTGTTTACATTTTTTCCTTCTTCCCATCCTCATTGCTGAGGGTCAGGGGTTCAGTTCTGTTACCCTTGTACAATATCTATATTGTTTTATTTCCACCTTTGTTCATCCCCTTTTTAATTTAGATACATTTTAGATTGGTATCATTTTCAAACACTTCCTGTTTATTCTGTAGTAATTGCTGGAACTGGCACAAGAAAGCATGGGATCAACAGATGCAGTTGCAACTTTCTTAACCTCATAAATCTACCCTCAAAAACAGCATTGTCAGTATGTAATTTCTTAATCTTTTTTTCTGGGCATCAGACTCTCTTAATGTATTATCATTTCTGAATGAGTGTGATGATCTCACTCCTACAAGGCAGCAATATTATAGCATAAACAGCATGAGACACCAGTTCAAAAATGTCAGCATGGATGTCCTACTATCCTTCATAATATATATAAGGATATAAGTTAACATTTGTTATCTCAGAATTATATATATATATATATATATATATATATACACCTAGTGAGCCAGGCAAATCTACCTAGGTTTCACCTAAACGGATCGTCAGGGAAAGTTTTTTTTTTCTTTTTGTTGAATAAATATTTACCCCCCCACCACCACTTAGGTGTTTTTTTTGTTTTGTTTTGTTTTTTTTGTCACGTGGTATGATTTTAGCTATCACCTATAAATATGTGTTTCTCTTTGCCTCGTTAGCCAAACTTTCCCTGACGATCCGTTTAGGTAAAACCTAGGTAGGTTTGTCTGGCTCACTAGGTGTATCTACGGTTGTATTGAGCTCTTTTGTTAGTTAGTTGTTACTTGTATCGGGTTTTTTCTTTGGGCTTCAGACCTGCATCTGTGCGATTTTTTTGTCGGCAGAAGTTCATGTTTGTAGCTCTTTCTTTTTTAAAACCTTTTTTCCCCTCGAGATTGATTTGATTAGCAAATCAAAAAATTCGAGGTTTTTTCAAACGAGTCTAGTTATCTATATTTATATATATATATATATATATATATATATAATTATTATTTATAAAAAAATTATAACATAAATATGTTATAAAATCACTACAAAAATAGCCATTTTGTTTCAACACCCTCGGTGTCTTATCAAGTGATGATGTTGAAGATAAAATAAATGGTTTTAAGAGTTTCAAATTAATTAACAAACCTTCACTAGGGGGAAACATTGTTACAAAAGCTAGAATAACCAATCAAAATCCAAGTATAGAAAGATTCAAAAGCTTGACAATGAAATCATGTTATAATACCTATTCAGATCTTTAAAATACGGGTAATATTAAAAAGAATTTATACTAACCAATAATTATAAAATTATATGATAAAATTTAATATTAAAATTAAAAACTGCCAATTTTAAAATCCAAATTTAATCACTATTAAGTTTAAAAACTATAAAATTATTGAGAAAAGAAAAAATACATATGTTATTCAATTTATTTCTTCGTTGAAACTACGTTTGACAAGACGCTACAATATCCGGTCATTTGACAATACATGTATATATATTTTTTATTCTAAAGTGTGTGAATGTGGTCTTAAACTCACGTGCAAAACAACAAAAACACAATCAGATTATAATACATAAGCACCCAGACATATTTAGATATATATATATATACACACAAAAAAGCGACGAGACAGGAACATCTCCACAGCCCTTTATGACAAAAGGAAAAGGGGAAACCAACACCTATACACACACACAATTAAATGTGAATGCACTCTACATACACATAGACACCAATAAATACATGTACGCACATCCACAGACAATGACCTAGACAATCAGATACCACAACCAATAAATATTTAAGACTTAAAGTATCATTAAATAAATGCTAACCACTTATTAAATTATAACTTAAGCGAGCAAATATACAAAGATAAAAATGGTTAAAAATAATATTATTTAATATATTAAAACTAAAATTCCAAAACCACAAATATCAATAAAAATATATTTTAATCATATAAGTTGATAATAGTTTCATTATATGTTAGGCGAAGAAAAACAAGATAAAGAAACCCACAGAAATAAGTGTACTGTCATACATATATACACATATACACATATATACACATGCGGCAGCAAACACAAATTAACACACATATACATACATACATATACACACACAGAAATACATACATATAAATATATAAACATAAACATATACGCACATATACATATCTATGATAACAAGTACACATACACACACATATATATAAACATATATACACACATTTTTATGCACACATACTCACATATATAAAAATATGCACCAATATAAATACATGCACCAATACATATATGAACATATATACACACATAGACTAACTACTGTGGCAGTAATGACATACCAAAGTTTCCATACCTACACATACACACAAAAATGCCTTAACCAAACTGGCATTTTCATAGTAAATCCTTTCCTTTTTTTACTGAAAGAGGAAAGAATTTACAACAAAAATGCATTGAAAGTGCACTGATCTCATAATGGTCTATATAAAACCAGGCTCCTATACAATATTTCCAGTGGAGGACCTACATTTTTGAGGCCCTGAAACTTGAACAGATATGGGAGCCTCTTCACAATCAACAATAACATATTCAAGGATACAACTACTAAAATATAGGCTGTGAATAGAATCTGGTAAGCTCAATAAGACAATACAGCTGGGGGTTCAGGCACTGCAAGCCCCCAAGAAAGTTTGGAAATTTGACCAATCATGGGGGAATTTTAAGGTCATATGAAATGGGTATCAGATCATATTCTAAAGCACTTTAGAATAAAATTTTGTTGAAAAATTAGGGGCTCTGAAGCTTAAGTTTCATAGTAGATTTGCCACTGAATATCCCTCATCATTGTAAAAATATCAGTAGCACAATGCGGCATACTGGCTAAAACAAAAAAAAAAATCTGTTCAAAGTGGGTTAAATTTAAAATCCAGCACATGTTAGTGGCTTCATTAGGAAAAACACCAACTCTCTGGTTACAACGTCTGACTGACAGCTATCTTTATTACCTGTTCCTCATATTCCAACACACTTTTCTTA